TTTTTAACTGAAGTGTGAACTATTTACAGTCACTACTTGAACGTAGCCAATTTTCAAGCGCCCTAAACCAGAAGCAACGTTGGAGAGTAAGCAAAAACCAAACACACCACCAACATACATACCTACCTACAATATATAAAATAAATTTCTAGTTAACACGCAAGAAAACATAAATAAACATATACCATAAGTAACAAAAAAAGCGAAAAAAAGAAAAACTTGAATAAATACCAAGTGCAAAAAATAAGAAAAAGAGTCAGCATTTAGCATGCTAAGTCACATGTGAAAAAAATCGGAAAGTATTGCGCAGAAAAAACAGCAACAAATGGAAATCGGTTTTACCTTTACAACCTCTAACTGTCGGTATCGATTTAAAAATATTTACATACCTTAACTTTTCATACACTTTTGAATTCAATTGATTTGACTGAATTGGCTTGGCTGCCTGACGGTTAACAACAACAACGCGCTAACTACACAAAATATCCATCGATTAATTTTTGTATTGGCCGATGATTTTTTTTTGTCGAAAATTTTCATTTTCATTTGAATTTTGTAAAATTTTCTTTTCTTTTTTTTTTCAAAAAAGTATCTCGTTCGCTTAGGAATGCAATGAAATTAGTAATGAAATTGAGCTTGCATATACAACATATTCTGTGTATGTATGTATGCGTGTGTATGTAGTACGTATGTATGTTTGGCAGTGCGTGCGTGCGCGCTTACGTTGCTTCAAAAATAGTGCATCACACTGCAATTAATCCCACGCTCGACGACGCTTACCTTCCTACGTTTTTCTTTCGATTGTTTTACTATTTCGGTTTGAAAATGTCTCCCTTTTGTTCCCAATGTATGGGAAACTGCTGTAAATACATCAACATATTTGCAAACCTTGGTAATTTACACTTTTTCCCCTTGACAAATTTTGCTTCCCCCTCCCCTTCAGCAGGAGTCATTCATTGTCATTTGTGGCCTTGCGCGGCAGGAAGAATGTACTTTAGAGACGCGCTTATATTTTTTTGAGGGAGGTCAAACCTTTTCCACCAAATAGGAAAAGTCATAAAGTGTGGTAAACTAGTAGTGTACAGTATTTTTTTTAATACGCTTTTCATGGTTTTACGGAATGAGTTCTCAAGCAAATAACTGAAGTAGTGAAATAAGTAGAGAAGTAGGGTATTTTACTGGCAGGAGAAACACAAATCTAAAAAATGTAAGTTAAAAGATATGTTGGCGTTTAAAAAAGTTATATTTTTATTCTCTTAAAGCCAGATGCAGACTCTTCCCGATTTTCTTAATTTTCACTGCTAAAGTATATGAAAAGTAAACTAAATATGCGCTTAAAAGTAACCTAAGTTTGCGGCAAACCAACAGTGAATATGGGGGATTTTTTTGCTGTTGGAGCTTTGAAAATCATATATATATATCTGGAAAATAATCATACTTTCCAGAGCGTTCTGGCAAATAAAATATGTTAGACTACAGATTTTCGAAAATGTTGAGGTTTTCTGGTGGAATACAAAAATTTATAAAATCTTAATTACGAAAATATTCATTAAGGCATAGTTTTAGGTGCATAAAGTCAATATATTCAGTTTTTTTGTGCATCTTTGGTTTTATTTTATGATTTCCTAAAAACCTTAAAATGTTCTCTTCCCACGCATATTTATTTGTACGTGGGCTGTTGTTTGTTATTAAACTTTTTTGAGTAATAAAAATGTGTAGGGGATTTCGAAGTCAAAAAATGTTTACTCCCCCATTTCTTAAGAACAAAAGAATCGCCTAGATTGGAAATTTTAAATTTTTCTGTTGTTTTGTGATCAAATACAATATTTTTCTTGGAAATCCATCAGTTATTTTTTGTCACTTCCTTTCGGCTTTAATTATCCTTTCATGTCTGTAATATATTAGCTTACAACTAAAGTATATTTTTTTTTTATATATTTTTGTAAAACAACGTGTTGTAAACTATGAGCAATTTTGAAGTTAAAAAAAAAATCTAAGCTTGATATCCTTATTTTCATTTGGATTTCCAAGCGCCTTTACCCTTTTTGCAAACTACATTCTTCCGTGTTTCCCCAATTTTGTACAGCATTTTTAAACTAAACATTTTTATTTGTTGCTCGTTTAGCTTAAAAATAGTCATAGTTTTTTGGATTTTTTATTTTAACTAACACCAAATTTTTCCTTTCGCAGGTTTTCCGTATACGCACTCCGACAGAAGCTATCAATCTGGTATCGCAACTGCTCGAGTATACGCCAAGTGCACGTATAACGCCACTAAAGGCCTGCGCACATCCATTCTTCGACGAACTGCGTCAGGAGGGCAACACTACATTGCCCAATGGACGGCCTATGCCCCCATTATTTAATTTCACAGAGCATGGTAAGTGTGTGGGTGAGTGGTAATACAGCAAAAAAATAAAAAAATAAAAAATTGGCGACTACTGCCAAAATTATGCTGCAAATTCTTGTAAACTTTTTATTTACAGTTTATTTTTTAGTTTTTTTTTTGTATTAAGCATTGTTATTTTTGATTAATTTCGGTTTTCTTACCACTTGCAGAACTTTCGATACAGCCAAGCCTAATCCCACAATTGTTGCCAAAACATCTGCAAAATAACAGCGCAGGTCGACCGGTCGCCGGTGCTGGTGGCGAAGGTGCTTCTGGCTCAGCATCAAATCCGTCAAGTGGCGCCGGTACGCCAGGCGGCGCAACTTCCCAAGCAACTTCAGGTTAGTAGTGCGATATTGATTAATAATATAGTTTATGAAAAGTTGTCATAAAATTTGTTTAAATCAAATTTGCATAAAGGACATTGTTAATTGTTGATATTTAAAAATATTATTTGTTAAATGTTGTTATTGTTATTTTTTCACATATTTATGTTTGTGGCTTTAACAAATCACATTTGACAAGAAGCTATGCGAAAAAAAAACAAAATCAAAAAACTACCACATGCACATCGCATGAGGCAAAGTTGCATATAGTACACCAAAAAGGAAAAATAATACCAAAAGAGAGTGACATAACTATTAATTGAGTAAAAGTGGTGTTGGTTTTATTTACTTTAAAATGTGTAAAATTTACTTCAAAGCGTATTTTCTTTCCTTGCATTTTTTTAAGTTTTCATTTGTTTTATTTTACGTTTTAGATTTATTTTCCTCATTTTAAATATTTTTGCTATACATCTATTTTTTTGCACAAAATTTATTTTGATTTTTTCCATTTTTTTATTTTCCTTTAAATTTTTTATTTCGTTTTTATTTTTCATCTAAATTTTGAACATTTCTTGTTCACCCAAATTCGTTTTTTAGCTAATCAAAAGTTTGAAATTTTTATTTATTTATTTCATTTTCATTAAATTCGGAAGTATTCTTTTAGTCCCGGTTTGTCGACATTTCAAGTTTTTTTTTTAATTTAAGCTGATTTTGGAATTGATATTCTTTCTTATTTCCTATTTTTTAAGTTTTTTAATTTGTCATATCTTTTAATTTTTTTAAATTAAGTTTTCACTTCGTTTTTGTTTTTGTTTTTGTGTTTTTTTTTTTATTTAATTGTTTGATATTTTTTCTGATTCCATCATTTTTAAAATGTTTTATTTTTCCTTATTTTAATGTGATTTTAACATTTAATATTTTAATTTTTTTTGGCATCTTTTAATTTTTTAGATTTCGTTACATTTTTTTTTTCTTTTTTTTTTCTAAAATTCAAATTGTTCGCTTCTTTTTTAGCATGTGCTGCCTGACTGTCTGTCGCCCATTTTTCATCCGCTTTTCTTGGCTTTTTGTTACACACTTTGTTACATTTATTTGAATCTTCTTTTTGTGTTTATGTTCACTTCTCACACACTTTTCTTTATTTTATCTGAAAATATATATGTTTGTATATTTTTATTTTTTACAGATTCATAGTGGCATAGTTCTTTCTTACGTTATGTTATAATAATAATAAACAAGAACATAGGAAAGAAAAATAAAAAAAAACAAAAACAATCATGATTTCTATAAAAATAATAATAAGAAATGTACCTATGCGTAATAAAATAGAAGGGCAAAAACAAAAAAAAAAAAATCAAAACAAAGCGAAAATGGCCAGCAAGCAAAAGCGCTATATCTATCAACATAAATATCATACATATACACATATAGTAAAAAGGCAAAAATCATATTAAAAAAAAACTTTTTAAAGCAAAATTTCTGCAAAGAAAAAATTAAAATAATAATTAAAATAAATATAAGAAATGCTCTGTAAGCGCGCAAAATTTCAAACCTAGAAGCATAAGAAGAAGCAGCAGCCACAATAAGCAAAGCAAATCAAGCGAGCAACTCTAGATATTTCTTTGAAAAAAATAAAATATAATGAAATAAAAAATTTAACAAGCGAAATCTTAAAAGGAGAAGAAGCACCCAAACACAAGCAAGCGAGCGATCGAAATTGCACCTCCACTTTTATAGATACATAATTTTATGTAAAAAATTTGCATTAAATTTGTAGTTTTTTTTAACTTCCTTTTTTCTGTTTTTGCATATCATTTATACTTATATAACTTCTACATTTTGCGCTGCACTTATTTTTATGAAACGTAAAAAAATTAAAAAAAAAAAAAACCAAACCAACAAACGGAAAAAAGAAAAACATATTTTTTTTTTTAATTATTTTTTTCCGTTAACTAAATTAGCCCCATATCTCGCAAGCACAACATAATTACTTTGTATTTGTGCTTTGCAAAAATTGTTATACAATTTGTTAGCACGTAGTAATTTGTAAAAAAAAAAATGTCGAAGTAACTGGGAGAGCAGTTGTTTTACGGTTGGCAGACGGAAATGCGCTTCGCAATTAGCGGAACGGAGCGCGGCAGGCTGTGACGCGAAGTCAGTGTGGGAATTCGACTACCCTTTTAGCCGCTCCGAGGCCAGCGGAGTTGCCTTAAACAGACGGCAGAAAACTGGGAAGCTGCAAATAATTCTCCATTTAAAAAGCAGTTATTATTTGCATAGGAAAAAATTGTAAAGAAAAATCTTTTAAAGCCCGTGGAATGAAATATTTTAGATAATTTTTCGCTTTTATTTTGCATGCCTCTGTCTTTTTACCTTCAATCACTATTTACCACATATATTTTATTAAATTTGTTACTCAAAAGCGAAAAAAAATATTAAATATTTACATACTGCACGAAATGAAGAAGCTAGTTTTATATAAATGAAAAAAAAAAACATGAAAAATAATATATGTATGTACATTATAAACTTAGATTTTTTCGTTGTAACTACTTGCTTTATTTTAAATATTTTATTTTATTTTTATTTTTAACACGTATTAGGTAAAACAAAAAATCTTGTAAATTAAACAAAAAAAAAAAAGAAATCAAAAATGTAGCGTGAAATCAATTGTTTAATACAATGCAAATTATAAAAAAAATGCTTTAAAAGTAGACAATTAAATTATTAATAATTATTTTTAATGAAACGACAACCATAATATACTACATACATACTGTGAAAATACAATTAAATGAAAGTGAAAAAATTTTAATAAAAACAGAAATATTATTTTAAAACAAATGGCATTCGGGGTTTTTTCTAACTTTTTACGTAGTTTTGTTGCTGTAGCCTATCTCTTATAACTGTGTCATCATCTCTTTGCCTTATTCACCACATCACCAGTAGCTAGCAAAATTTTCATGCATCCAAAAATTTATCTATTAAAAATTTTAATTTTAATAAACCAAACTTTAATTTAAGATTTTATAGTAGTATATCACTTTTTGAAATTAAATTTTTTGCAATCAACACTCTTTCATCACTTTTCTCGCTTAGAGTTGTCTAATCAATTTTATTTTATTTTACAGCGAAATCCTATTTGTAGTTTTGTTGTAAAACTTAAGAGGGAGGTGTCTTAACGAAAATTACATAAAATTAAACATTTTGATTTATGTGCATACATCTTCAGTTATCATTATCTAAATTCTTTTATTACATAAATTATATTTCTTTAGTTAAATTCTTTAAATATTTTGCAAAAGCAAAATTTCATTTTTTACAAAAAACAATTTTTAAATTTTTTTTTTCAAAAATTATCTTTATACAATAAATTATAAATCTTAAAAAGTATATATTTCTCTCAAAAAATATATATCTATGTGAAGTTTTAGATTAAGGTTTTAACAGAAAAATTTCCAAAATACTGAAACTTGTAATATTAAAATTTTTGGTTATATTTCCACGTGTAGTTTGTCAACGAACAAAAATAAAAATAAATATCAAAAATTGTTCATTTTCCAACTGAAAATACTTTTGGCATATATATATATATTTTTTTTTTTTAATATATTTCTTTAACTATTCGATTTACATATTTTAAATATTTCTTCTTATGCCCACCTTTAGCGTTGGGCGCTATTTCGGTGTTGCATGCACTTTAACAACTCTTTTTTTTTACATAACATTTTTATGCAAGTCGCTCTCTTTTTAACAATATGTAAAATACATGTTTAAAATACGACAAATATTATAACAATTAACAAAATGTCACTTTACAGTTATCGAAATCGATAGTTACTTGCCATTTTTACGCTCTACTTGTGCTGTGCGACAGTCAAAATGTAAAATTTACTAATCAAATGTTTATTGTTATTATTCTCCTTCCTTCCTCGCATTTCACCACATCGCACGTGCGACACACATACCCACCCACATCATTTGACCACCAATTGACCATCAACCCACCGACAACCATACCATATTTGACGTGCAGGCACACAATCGAGCGCTTTGGCTAACGCCAACAGCAGCGGCGGCGCCGGAGCAGCGGCCACCACATCGTCCAGCGCTTCAGTAGCAGCAGCAGTCGGTGGCAATACCGCGAGCGGTGGTGCGCCTGCAGCGTCTTCAGCAGCGCAAGCGAGCGGAGGCAGCGGTGATGCGGGCAATAGCAACAATGGTGGCAATCAGCAACAGGCGACCGGTAGCGGTGCGGCAGCGGCAGGCGCGGACGAAGTCGCATCGAACGCTGGGGATGGGAATGGCGGCGACGGTGGCGCCAGCAATAACAGCGGGGGCGGCAACGGCACGCAGCCGCAACAGACAGCGACGACAATGGGTTAGCGAGCTGTAATCGAAGTATATGGAGGGCCTATTAATTCTAATAAGAATAATTAAATTTAAATAATAAAGAAAAAAGGAAACATTTAAAAATAAAGTAAAAAATGCTATAAAAAGTTAAAAATAAAAATGTGTACGAGTAAAGAGAGAGTAAGAGAGAAATAACAGTAAAAAAAAATTAACAAAAATATAGTACGGAAAATATTGAAAACAAAACTAACATATAATTAATTATATATTATATAATAAATAATTCATTATTATTAAAGAAAATAATGCTAAAACGTAAAACACTTTGAAAGTAAATAATTGCAAAAGTAAGAGAATAATATAAATAAATACATTAAAAATTCGCAGCTGTTTAAAATGTGCAAGAAACCACTTGCGATACATACAACAACAACAAAACAAAAACAGAAAATTTAATTTTCAATATTATTTTTACTTTATCCTTAGCAGAAAGTATAAACAACATAAGTGAGGTTAGGTGAATAGCAACAGGTAAATAAAAGAAGAAAAAAAAAGTTTGCATAAATACGACAAGTTAAGCAACAAAAAGAAAAGGAAAACAACAATAGCAAGCAGTAAAAGAAAGAAAACTAATAAAAAAAATTCTTATTGATAAGCAACAAAGAATGGTAAATGCATTAAAAACAACATAATTAAAAAAAATATATATAAATAAAATATTAAACAAAAAATATTATTAAATTTATTATTACAAAAACAAACGTAGCATAAATCATAAAAAAATCATATATTTGCGTTGTATAGATGATGATAAATGATTAAAATAAAATAAATTACAATTATAATGACGATACTGATGCGCTGACGATATGAAATGATAGAAGTGCGCAAAAAATAGTAGCTTAGTTGAAGAATTCAAGCAGATGCAGCAGTTTGAGTTTATGTGGCGTGCGACAAGCGGCCATATATACATCCATACATGCATATATTGAGAAGCAGCAGTTAGCAGTTACTGGTAAAATGAAATGTAATCAAAAAAATCTAAATCTAAAAAAAAAATAATAACTAATATACAAAAACAAAAAACAGAAAAAATTGCAAAAAAAAATATTTGAAACAAAAAAATACATATGTATTTGTTGGCAAGCATAAAGAACGCAAACGGAATGTGCGAAAAATAAGAAGCAATGCCGTTGCACTTTGCACTACCCGTACGCAAACTCACTGTGGCAAGGACTAACAGCATATTCAAAGTTTACAAACTAAAACTTTATTATCCAAAACGAAAAATCTGCAAAAAAAAACAACAGTCGCTAAATAAAAACAAAATTCAGTAAAAATTTAAACTACCATCACACACACATTCATATTTCATACATGTTGTATGTAAAAAATGCAATCAATCAAATGCGCTTGAAATGCTACTGCAACGCTTGCTCAAGCGAACGATTGGCAACGCCACTAAATGTGAACAGAGGCTGAAAAGCTGTTGGCAACGCGGCCGCTACTTACATTCACCAAACGTTTAGTTTTCGTTGTATCACGTTGCGCGCGTGTGCCAAGCGTTTCAAACGCATTTATTTTTTAAATAAATTTAATAAATTTATTTCACTTATTGCATGTGGTTCAAAGCAAAAACAAAAAGCTTAGCGCGTAGCTGCACTGTGTTTGTGTTTGAGCCGCCGGCACAAAGTTGTGTCACTTGCCGGCCGCCGCCCCCACCGGTGCAGCCTAAGCACTATCACCAAATGCAAAAATCATTTCTGCGAACAAATTTAAATAGAAAATCAGAAAAATATGTGCAAACCCTGTTTTAGAAAAAAAAAAAAATAAAAATAAATTAGCTGCATATGAAGCATTACAGCAAAGTGAGAAGCATTGAAGAAGTTTAATTATTATTAATTACTTTATAAGCAAACTTGAAAATATACTAAATAAAAAGAAAATAAAATAAAAACAGAAAATATGTAAGCAGTAAAGAAAAACGGAGATTTCACATCGCTCGCGGTAAGTTTGTCGAGTTTCATTAACTAAGTATGTATGTACTATGTTGTTCTTTATACTTTATAAAATAATTAAATGCAATTAAACTAATTACTTAAATTTAGTTTGCCGTTTTTATTATGATTATTAATAAAATAAATATTATTACTTTTATGATTAAACAAAAAAATTATTATTTATGTAACTTGTGTATGCTATGCTACATGTAAACATCATTTATGTAAGTCGTTAAGTCAAGGCGGTCATGTTTAATTTTATTTCTAAATACAATTGAAAAACAAAAAAATGCAACAAATAAAAACAAAATAAATAAATCTAATTAATAACTATAAACTTTGGTATGTTTGATTTAATACAAAAAAGCAAACGCTGAGAGCTGAAGAAGCTTATAGTGCAATAGTATAAATAAATCAAAACAAAAACAAAAAAAAAAAACAAAAATAAGAAGGGTGTTCCTTTAGCTCGAAAAACACCCAAGCTCCTCGACAATCGCAAAACTTTGGCTTAACTGTCAAAATTTGCATGAAAAATGCTTGCGAGTTTTGTGAATTTTTCGTGTTTAAAAGAATCACCTGAATAAAAATAATCATGCTTATTACAGTATCCGACGGTTGTGATGCGCACGTATCGAGCTCGATTCGCACTGTCGTAACAAGCGAGTGTGAAGGATTACATTCGTGTTCTGA